AATAATCGGATGTAATTCTTCTATCATCGATGGACCCTACCCAATTAGCATCTGTATAAGCCTCAATCTTTAGATGGCCATGGTTGGAATACAACATTCCTTTGCCAGGGCATCTTTTCAGGTAGGCTAAAATTATGTTAATTGCCTACATATGAGATGTCCTAGGTTCATGCATATATTGGCTAATCACTCCAATAGCATAGGAAATGTTAGGGTCTAGTCAAACAAAGATACAGAAGGTGTCCCACAAATCTTTGATATACCCCCTGTCTGGAAGAACTTTTCCTTCAGTATAGTTCAACTTGTGGTTAGAGTTTTTATAGGCTTACACCCTAATTTCCCAACATCATGAAGTAAATCAAGTTCATATTTCCTTGGTGACAAGAAAATCCCCTTCTTAGATCTTGCAACTCCAGTGCCAATAAAGTATCAGAGATCACCAATGTCCTTAATCTCAAATTCAAAAGTAATGAATGACTTTAACTGAGAGATACATGTGATATCATCACCTGTCACAACAAATGTCATCAACATATACTATCAAAATTGTTACTCTACCATCAACTCTTCTGATAAATAAGGTGTGGTCTGCTTGGGATTGAGAATAACCAATCTTTAAGATGGTATGCCTGAACCTATCAAACCATGCTCTTTGAGACTATTTTAGTCCATACAAAAACTTCCTCAAGCGGCACACTTTTCTATTACTGTTAGGAAAATTTACCCCAAGTGGTAAATCCATATACACTTCATCTTGTAAGTCCCCATTAAGGATGGTGTTTTTTACATCCATTTGATATAAAGGCCACGACTAATGGGTGACAAGATACATGATCATATGAATAGAGTTCATTTTAGTAAGTAGAGCAAATGTTTCCAGATAATCAATGCCATAAGTTTGAGTGTATCATTTGGCTACAAGTCGAGCTTTGTATCTTTTAATTGAGTCATCTGTCTTGTGCTTAATAGTATAAACCCACTTACACCCAACAAGAATCTTATATTTAGGGCACGGAACAATCTCCCAAGTCTGGTTCTTTATTAGGACTTCCATTTCTTAGTTCATAGTTCCATTATAGTGGGAGCTCTACATTGCCTCTATAACACTACGAAGGATGGAAACAAAATATATGTCAGAAATATAGACATAATAGGTGGGAGAGCATCATAAGACACATAGTTAGTGATAGGATACTTGTTACATGTCCTCTTCCATTTTCGAATAGGATTGTCAGGAGGTTCAAGATTACATGAATTTGGGAAATCAGATTGTGATGGGCATTCTGTTTCATGAGTCACCCTCTTATTGTGCCTGATGAAAGACTACTGCCAGGACCGACGTCGATTTACAGGAGGAGGAGGAGGGGATGGAATAGATGTAGGAATAGAAGTAGGAACATGAAGGCATAAAGGAATCCAATATTCACTTGCATTCTCCCTTGAAGAAAATGACATGATGACTGGAAAAATGAAGAGGATTCTAAAAAGGTAACATCCTTAGAGACATATCTCTTATTAGAGAGAGCACCAAAGCATTTATAGCCTTTCTGGACTAGATAGTAACAAATATACACTTTAATTTATGATCAAACTTGCGCTGGGAAGGACTTATATCATGAACAAAACAACATAACCAAAGACCTTAGGGGGTAGATTAAAAAGAGTTTCATTAGGGAAGAGTAGTTGATGAGGAGAATGAAGGTTAATGACCCTTGATGGGAGTCTATTAATGAGATACATAGTTGTCTCAAAAACATCACCCCAAAAACGAGTTGGAACAATAAGCCTCAAGCAACTTCTACCACATGTCCATTTTTTTTTCAGCCACCTCATTTTGTTGTGGAGTATGACTACATGAACTTTGGTGAATGGTGACCCTGTATTCGAGAAATCTATGCAAGTGATGTTCAAAATATTTCTTGGCATTGTCAGATCTTATTATCTTAACTCTTTTCACAAAATGTGTCTCGATCATATTCATGAAGTTTTCAACAATCATAGGAACTTTATCTCTACTTTTCATTAAGTAAAGCCATGTAAACCGATTGTAGTTATCAACGAAGAGAATGAAATATTTATACCCCCCATACATAAGACAACATATGGGCCCTAAATATTAGTATGGATCAAGTGGAAAGCAACATTACTTCTTTTATTGTTTGCAGAAACACATGTTTTCTACATTGTTTGGATAAATGCCAAATTCCACATTCAAAATTCAATTTGGATACAGAATCAAACAAGTTTGAAAACAAAAACATGACAGAATTAACAAACATATGACTAAGGCGACAATGTCATAATTTCAAGACTCATTTTCTCATTAAACAATACTCAATTTGGCTTGACAATCCATGCTTTGAAGGTCCATTTAGGAGGTAGACTCTATCTATTTTATGCCCACTTTCAATCGTTTTCCCCATGCTCAAGTCATAAAAAACACAATGGGTGGGAAAAAAGGTCACTGAGCAATTGTGGGATTTTGTTAGAGAATTAATAGACAATAATTTTTTTTGTAGCCGGGGCACATGTAGAATAGAGTCAAGCGAAATGTTATTAGTGATTATGAATTCACTCTGACCCGAGATTGGGGTCTTAGATCCATTAGCAACAATAGTCTTGCCTTTCCTCGGGGTTAACTTATATGAGGTAAAATGTGAAGGCATACCGGTCATATGGGCAATAGCCCCAGAGTTTACAATCCATGGGCTAAAAGAGGTGGGACAAGAAAGTGCCGTACCTATCTTGGCATATGAACTAGATAGATTACTAAGTCCAAAACCAGATGATAAGGATATACCACCATTCTCTAACTGCAACAATATATTTCTGAGTTTGTCCATCACATCAAAGGAGTTAAGCACATTTGAGGGCTGAGCATCATTACCAACTGTAGCCAAGTGAGCATTGCCCTTCTTCCCAGTTTTGTATTTCTCTGGTTTTACATGAGGGTTGAGCTTCCAACACCTTTTGCTTGGGTTGAGATGACATAAAGGCATAATGATCACTCACAGAGGATTGCATCATGGTGGTTCTTCGACTTTCTTCCCCTTGTACAAGAGAGTAAGCAACAACAAGAGAGACAATGCCTGCATTAAGAATGTGTTGCTTGGTGAAATCAAACTTTGGGTTTAAGTTAGCCAAAAATCAAAGACTTTATTCTCCTATATGTACTTCCGATACTGATCACCATCTTCAGGGTACTTCAAAACTAGAGCTTTCAAGTGATCAATTTCTTCCTAGATAGATTATAGAGAAGAAAAATATATGGCAACATATCTCTCCCCTTGACGCATACTGCAAGCTTCCCTCTAAAGCTGATACACTCTAGTAGTATTGTTAACTTGGGAATAAGTAGCAACTACCCTATCCCGGATATCATTGGCAGATAGAAACATATAATTTTAGGCAATATGAGGTTACATTGAGCAAATCAGCCATGACATAACAAGGGAGTTTTCCTGTTCCCACCTTGCAAATTTTGGGTCTTTAGGACTCGACTTCACTTCCCTTCCTATCATGAATCCCAGTTTACCCCTCCCAGTAATGGTAAGTTTAGCAGACTGAGACCGCTCTAAAAAATTAGTTCCATCCAGTTTAATAGTGGTTATCATACCACTGAAAATATTTGTAGTTTTTGGGAGCACGTCGGGAACCATATGAAAGTCCTTAGATGATTCCATATTCTAACAATACACATTTTCACCAACCAAAAAGGACCCCCAATATTTTAACCGATGTTCTAGACTCAAAACTAGGTTACCATGCGGTTAAGAACCAAAGGAAGACCCAAAAAACTAGGTTGGCAGCAAAATAGAGGGAGAAAAAAATCTCCCAAAAATCACACAGTGCTCATAAAATTACGGGACCACTTCTCATCAATCCCAAATTGAGAAAATACCTGAGTGGTCTAGGTTTTACAAAAGAAAAAAATCATTAAACTTGTTGTACTTGGCTCTACGTTAAATATGGAATTTCTGCGATTTTTCTCCTTGAAAATCCACCAAAAATCATAGAGGTTTCATATAATGACAAGAGTCATACCAAAATTTTTCTAAAATCAAGGTGAATCAAACTGTATTGATTTTATAGACTACTGCCAACACTTGTACGGACTGCTGACGTCATCTGGTGGCTGTTTGATGCTAGTAGTTGCCTTTGGGTTGGAGACCACAGACCAACAGAGAACCAATTCGAGATGCTTCTACTTGCTCTGATACCAAGTTGCAGAAACTAGAGTTTCAGGAGAGAAAAAGAAAGAAGAGAAGAAGAAGACGAATAAGAGGACGAAGAAGGAGACGGACAAAGAGAGAAAGAAGAGAGTAGTGTGTTGAAAGGTGTGTAGTTCACTGTTCATACCCTCAAAAGTTTACTTTATAATTTGAAAAAATTATAATTACAAGAAGGTCCTTATTTGGGTGCCCAAATAATGAGAGAATATAAGAAAGGAGAAAAGACCAAAACACTCATATATAACCATTCTCAACAGGTACTAATCTGGAATTTGTCCTTTTTTTATACCCTAATTCACCCTTTATTGGATTAAATAGAAGTTTTATTCCTCACACATGTCTTTACATATTATCATAAAATAATGAATAGTTAGTTCTAATGTTAGAAAAAAAGTATAGCTTTATGCACACAACTATCCATAAAAAAATGGATTCACTCCAAAAATAACTTGAGACACATGACTACATGTAAAAAAATATAAACTCCAAAAGGGATGTGAGGGCCATATTAATATTTGCAACTCAATTTATTAATTCAAATAAAAATTCGTTATAAGAACTTTTATAAAGTATATACATTAAATCTGGTTTAATTAATTATTTAAATTAAATATAATTATTAAATACAGTGAATTTCAAATAAAATGATATTTATTATAAAAAAAAACCAAAGATACATAGCTCTTGCCCCGTACTTAGTACGGGGTCATTCCTAGTAAGATATCAAGGCATTGAGGCGTCCCAACGCTTAAATCAAAAAATCTAAATTCGAGAGGATAAGGTGATATTGATTATTGACTGCCTACACTTCCTTACTATATTCGCGCTCACTCTATCGGCTCTAAACTCATCGCCTTTTATTTGTTCGTTTTAATTAACTGTTCTCATCTCTTCAATGGCGATGGGAACAGCTAGTTGCTCGTTCTCCATGTTCAGAATCACGGAAACCTGTCCTACCCCGTCATATATTTTTAACTGCCGCTTTGCCACTTTGCGGAGAACCATTTCTTTAGATATGAATAAAGACGTGCATTTGAAACGAAGAGCCTTGAAGAAAGACTGCTTTCCTACAGGGAAAGCCAGAGAAAAGGTGAACTATAAACCTCATTTTTCACTACTCATTACTCATGCTTCGCTTATATACCAATGGAGGTCTTTTATCTGATAATTTCGCGAAATGTGAATCTGGTTTTTTTTTTTTATTTGTATTATTCTTAATTATTCTCTTCGAGCATTTAGGATTATGTGTTGATTTAGTTTATAAATATTCGCACAGAATCAATACATATAAGCCAATGTTGTACTATTCTGATTCTGTGATTAACCAACAAATGATTTTTTTTTTGTTTGTTTATTGGTCAATATGCTTTTTCTTTCTGGGTTCAGCTGAGATGACGTTATTACTCAGTTATTCCCGAACTATTTTTTCCTTCATCCATCGGGGGGCTTGTAGACCACGTCAAAACGGAGTATCTTTTTCCACCGTGCTTGAACAGAAAAGTTATCATTTAGAACGGAGCTGACATTCATCATTCGCATGACAATAGAAGTTGTAAATTAAATCAAATTTATTTATTTATTTTATGTCAATAACGAAAGTGGCTTCTCAATGTTGGAACAATGTTATAGTGATTTATTGAAATGGTTTAATTATGAATAATGGAATGTCATTGGTTAATTGCATAGTAAATGCATCTCATTTGTGAAAATTCACTAGTTTTAATCATTTTTTTTTCTATTGTCAAGTTATTATTATTGTTTTTTTCTGCAATATTGCATTTTTACCAGAACAATATTTTAATTGTCTAATTTGTTCTTTTTAAAACTTGCATATGCAAGTTCAGATGGAAGGCATTTCTAGAAAGAGATTTCCTGCTAGATCAAAGAATGAAATGTCATATTTGCCTCCAAATGACAGTGGAGGAAATAAGAGTCGATCTCAACCAACAGTTTTTAAATCAATTGGCACACAGAGAAAAGACAAGAAGGGGTCTGCATATGATCTTAAAGAACAACAGGCATGATAACTGGCATCCCCTCAACAAGCTATTGTTATGCTATCTTTCCTAGTGTCTTAATGTTTCTTTATTGTTCAACAAGCAATTTTTGTGATGAGTTTATGGAACATAAATGAACTTTGTTGCCATTCACCGCATTATTTAATATATAAATAACACATGAAGTAGGAGAACAAGTTGGTTTTGATAGGCATCTTACTTTCTCTCTTTCTACCCCCTCCAACATAACAAGAATGTTTGCATTATAGTCGTTATAGAATTCTCTAAAATCACATTTGTAAACACAATTGATGATTGGTTGTTTTACTCTATTGCTCATGATATAGCTAGAGGTATATCATCTCTTACCTTCCATGTATATGATTAGACTTGAACTTTTCATTGTTTTTGAAAGGTTCAAATAATTCCAAATTGAAGTTATTTATTCACTGCATGTGTAAATAACGATTCTTATTTTATTAGAACTATGTTTACTATATTAGGATTGTTATGAGTCCCATGGCTGTATTTCTTTTTTTGATAAGTGAGAGTAGTTTTATTAATTCAAATAAAGAAAGTACAGTCAGCCTAGGAGGAGGCACGAGGTGTTACCACCCCCAAGGACTGAACCATAAGCACTAAACATACACAAGCATGAAACACAATTACAAGGTAGCCCAAAATAGATCTCTCCTTGATACCCTTTGCTTGGCTAGAGAATCAGCCATTGCATTTGCTGATCTGCTGACCCACTGAACCCTGACTGTCATATTTCTTGTCAGCCATTTAACTTTCTTTAACAGATCCCTGTAGCCCCAACAAGCTGTTTCTGGACTTGTCAGCCATCCCACTACTACCTCGGAATCCCCTTCTACTATCAAATTGTTCACTCCAAGTTGACTGGCCAGCTGTATACCTTGCACTGATGTTAGTATCTCGGCCCTTACAAAATCACCAACACCCGTTGGTCCTGAAAATAAAGACAACATGTTGCTGTCTTTGTCTCTCAGAATCCCTCCTATTCCGGATGGCCCTGGGTTACCTTGGCAGCTACCATCAAAATTCAATTTTACCACTCCATCCGGTGGGGGTTTCCATTCAACTCATGGTTTGTTCTTTGTGGATACTGTAGAAGCCACTGCTTCCCAATTTCTCCTTAAGTCATCAAAGGAGTAAACCGCCAACAAGTGTGAAGATTTCAGCCACGAGGTTGTCCTTGTCATTATGTACTCCTTGATTTCAACAAGACTTCTTTCCTTAAAAATATTCTAGCATTTCTCTCCTCCCATAACGTCCACAAGGTAGCAGCTCTGATACATTTCCACATTAGCTTCCCTCTTTTTGTCATTCTCCCAAAGGCAGACGGAGTGAACAACAACTTTACTTCGGAGAGCAAGTTCCACTTGCACCCAAATAACGAAACAACCTAGTTCCAAATATTGGCAGCAAAAGAGCACAATATCAACAAATGGTTATAGTCCTCACCCTTCACTTTACACATAAAGCACCAATTTGGGAACAAACACATATAAGGTTTCTTCTTTTGCAAATTTTCCACAATATTGATCTTACCATAATAGGCTTCCCAACAAAACACTGCTATTTTAGGGGGTATTGGCCTTGTTCAGACCTCTTTAATGGGGAAGACCTGAGAGGAGGGGTTGGAGCAAAGGGATTTAAAGAAAGATGCACAAGTGAAGGAGCCAACCGGGATTTAAAGAAAGATGCACAAGGGGGGTCCAAACACACCGAGTCTAGAAGCAACAAGAGCTCTAAAACACAAGAAAATTCTTCATCCCTTAATCCTCTTTGAAACCCAAAATCCTAGTTTAAATCCAAAGGGAGAACTGGGGGGGGGAAGGAATCATGAAATGGGCTTCTTTTTAAAGAGGAAGATGAAATAGAGAGAAGGGAAACGGTCTTTTAGGGGTTGAGTGCTCACCCAAATATCTTCCCAAAAAAGAACAGAGTTTGCAGGACAAACATCATACCTTACAAACCTGAGGAATTTAGGAAGAATGCCAGAAATAGCCTTCCAGGGTGTTGTGAGCAAAGCCCTTCAGGATACCTCTTCATCCTAGTCTGATCCAGAACAACCATGGATACTCTTCACTACTTCATGTCACAACCTCTCCCTCTCTAGGGGCCACCTCCAAAGCCACTTACCTAAAAGAGCTTTATTCTCACTCACTACATTCCCTAAGCCTAGGCCTCATTTTTTTTTTTGCTTCGACTCACCACCTCCTACCTAATCAAGTGATCTTTTTTTTCTTCCCTAGCTTCCCATAAGAAGACCCTCATCAGTTTTTCCAACCTCTTTGCCTCCCTTTTAGGAACTAAAGACTGACAGGAAGTATAATAATGTCAAGTTGGCTAAAGCTGCCTTAATCAAAGTAACTCTACCCCCCAAGGAAATATAATTTTTCTTCCAAGTTGCCAATCTTTTCTTGAAATTTTCCACCACCAGGTTTCAAAACCTACTTTCCTTTGGATTTGCACCTAAGGGAAGTCCTAGGTAGGATAAAGGCCACTGAGATCAAGTGCATTCTAAAGAGGCTGCTATAGACTCCATCTCCTCTTTGTTCAAATTTATTCCCACAACACAGCTCTTCTCAAAATTTATCTTCAAATTTGAGGCCCTCTCAAAGTGAATTATTAAATCCTTCAGACTCCTTACCTCCATCAGATCACAACTTTCACAAAAGATTATTATGTCATCTACAAATTGAAGATGGGTAACTGAAACTCTACCTATTCTCCACCCTCTTAAAGACCCAGCCCTATCCACTTCTGAGAGGAGTCTACTAAAAGCGTCGACAACTAGAGTGAATAGGAAAGGTGACATGGGATCACCTTGTCTCAAACCCCTACTAGTTGGGAAAAAAACCATTAACTACCCCATTAACTAGGAGTCCCATGGCTGTATTACCATCCAAAAGTTGATAATTGGTTGAACCCCAACTTCACCATACCAGTTACTTTTCTCTTCCTAACTGAAGAGCAATTATGACAAACTTGGTCATGTTTTTTATTTGTCCATGTGGATATATTTAATATTTCCTGTTATTATTGAATCAAGGCTGTCTTACTGAACCCCCAAAATGAATAACTATTGTTGATTGTGTGATAGCTGATTACTGTGAAGCCATTCATTTAGATGACAATTATTTGTGATTTGTCATTCCTGCAATCAATCTGGAGGGGGTGGGGGTGGGGAACTAATTTGTAGTTTGGGTCTATTGTGCACATGTCTCTTCCTTTATCAATATGTGGAGAAGCATTGAAGGTGGGAAACAATGCTGTGTTTTCAGGTTAAAGACACAGGAGATCTTCAAGATGCAGCTTTTCTTAATGCTGTTGTGAAGGTATGGCCTGGAATATATATTATAAAGATTGCTGCTTGCTGATGGCTATGAATTTTACCTGTTCTATTCCTTTCGTTTTAGTAAGTAGTTCAAAGCTGCAAAGCCATATTCCTTCACATAATTATTTTTTTTTGTAATAAATAAAAATAGAATTTATTACTCATTAAAAAGGAGAATTTATTACCACATTCCACAAACTAGCCATGAGCCATACTACTCCAAATACAGACCTCTCTATTAACGAGAAGCAACCTCCTGAACCACCACCTAAATCCCAAATATACTCAGCTACTCCAAATCAGAAAAGCAAAAACACCCACTCATCCCTTGTACATTTTAAGTGAAAGCGTTCCTTCATATAATTATGTAAGGGACCAGTATCCAATGGTGCGAAGGGGGAAATTTCTCAACTCTACTTTGGGTACCGTCACATGGGGCACAAACATGGTGGTGTGTATTACGCAACTTTGGGCCTCCTAGGCAATTTCCTACATCGAGGATGGTCCTAATCAAATGATAAGTCCAGTTTTTCCTCTTTCTTAAAGCATTGTTTGATCCTATGATGTAGGATCACTTGCTCTGATACCATGACATAGAAAATTGAATGGCCAAGGGATGAGTCTAAAAGGGTTTAATAGGTGATTCGACTAAAGACATGGATTGCTTAGGTTAGAAAAGGTCTAAAGGTTGTTCTCTTGTAAGTCTTTTTAGATCCCCTATAGCTACCTCCCCTCTCCTTCATTTCTTGTAAAGGAAGTTTAGTTTTTCCCTATTCCTCCAAAAGTCCATGCTTTTTGTTGGGAAGTATTTCATGGTTGTTTTAATACTTATGATTTGCTTCAAAAGAAAAGACCAAAGTGGTGATTATCCCCCAGCTGGTGCTTCTTATGTAAGTTGAATAGTGAGATTGCTCTTCATCTCTTAATCTCTTGTCCCTTGGCTTTATTTGGGATTGGTTTTCTTCACTTTTTGGTTGTAGATGGTCCCCTCCTGACAGATTGGAAGGGTTGTTTAACACCTTAACTCTTATGTTTTTAGTTGCACTAAAAGGAAGGGTAGGATAATGTGGAGATGTACTAGGGCAACAGTGGTCTGGATAATTTGGGAAGAAAGGAACTTAAGAATTTTGGAAGACAAAGAAAGGAGTAAGGAAGCTTTGCTAGAGGTCGTAACTTTAAGAGTGGCACATTGGGCTAAAACCTTGAATCTCTTCTCAGACTTAAGGTTGAAGACTTTTTCAGGGGTGCAATAGCTGATTCTTCTTCCAGAAGACAAAAACTTTCTGTGGAGTGGTCACCCCCAAATTGTGGTTGGAAGAAGTTGAATTTTGATGGTAGTTATGTGGGCAATCTGGGCCCCTTAGCCCTTAGGTATTGGAGGGGTAATTAGGGATGACTGGATGAGGGAGGAAACATACTTGCTTTGTATTCAGGGTCAGTTGAGCAAGGTGATGTGGTTAGATCAGAATTATTGGCAGCAGTTTATGAGGTTGAAAAAAACCAAAGAATTGGGTATCAAAAGACTGATTATTGAAAGTGACTTGAGAACAGTTGTGCATTGCGTTAAAAAAAGGGGGGAGAAGTGACTTGGCACCTAAGGAATGATTTCAGACACTTCAAATGGCTGTCAATAGATATCTTGATCCATGTTAAGAGTGTGAGGGCATTTCTGTCCTTTAGTGTTTTTTGTTTTTTTTTTGTTTTTTGTTTTTTTTTTTTGTATTTGGGCGCCTATTCAAGGGCACCTTTGATGGTCGCTGATTCGCCCTGATTTTAGGGTAATTTTGGTATAGGTTTCACGGTGGTTTGAAGTTGTTTTGGATTTTTCGGATGAAAATTGGCGAAAAATCCAGATCTGGAATTTAGGGCTTGCATTCTCGTATGGTGGATTGGTTTCTGCTAAAACCTCTTGTGTTTGAGTCGTGGTAAACCCCTGGGACTGTAGGAAGTAGTCCTGAATTTTTTAGAGCCCTAAAACTTATTTTGGGAATTTTTTTCTTCCCATATTTTTCCTAGGTTTTTTTTGCTGTAACTCGTGTCTAACCTTGTGGAAAAGGTGTTTGGGAGTTCAGCGGTTGTTGGAAGGCTGTGTAGCTGGTGAGAATTTTTTTTTTTGGAGGGGCTGTGATCAATGGATTAATACAAAGACACCCGTGTACTTACCTATGTTCTCCCGGGAGCAATGACAATGTCGGAGGACAGATTACTACTGTAAAACTTGATGGGACAAATTTTCTTGAATGGTCTTGATCAGCCAAGCTTACAATCGGTGGAAGAGGTAAACTTGGATTTATTATCGGTAAGGAAGCTAAGCTGAAGCCTGAAGTTCCACTCTATTTCAAATGGGAGCAGGATAATCTGGTGGTTATGTCATGGCTTGTATGCTCTATGCAGCCACACATCGCCTGTAACTATATGTTCCTTCCAACAGCTAAAGATATTTGGGACAAACTAATTACAACTTATTCTCAAGCAAAAAACACTGCTAGAATCTATCAATTGCGAAGAGAAGCCTGTAATATGCGATAGGGGGAGAAATCAGTGGCCATGTATTTCTCCTCCTTACAATCAATTTGGGAAGAAATTGATCATCTTGAGGCTTTGGAGTGGAAAGATCCTGTTGATGCTGAACAATATAGGAAGTACATTGAAAAACCTCGAGTTTTCGATTTTCTTCCTGGGCTGAATGCTGATTATGACTTCACTAGGCAACACATCCTTAGTGCTGATATTTTGTCACTCTCCATAGCATATTCTCTTGTATAGAATGAAGAGAGTAGGAGGAATGCTATGATGCAAGTGTCTGTAGGTGAGCACATTGCACTTGTGTCCACAAAGCCTAAGCAGAGTTTTGGTAAACATGAAGAGGTATTTTGTGAATATTGTAAGAAGCTGAAGCATACCAAGGATAGATGTTGGAAACTATATCCCCACTTGAAACCTGAGAAGTTTGAAACTAGAAAGAAAGTAAATGCTCATGTTGCTATTGCAAGTCACGATTCTCAAACTAACATGCTTGAGGGAAATCGTCCTACCCCGGTATCTACTCATGGCACCTCTGATGTGATAGAAAAATTGAGAGGCATCTTACTCCATCTTGAAAAGAGCGGGTTGCCTACATCTACTGGTTCAAATGCTTCTTCTAGTGCCTTTGCAAAAGCAGGTACTGCACTTGCATGTCATGTCCCACCCTCTAGCTCTTGGATAATTGACACAGGAACCAGTAATCATATGACTGGTATGCCTTCCTACTTTACCACTTATAGACTTTTTTCAAGGAAAGGTACGATTACCATTGCTGATGGATCCCAGACCCCAATATTGGGTTTGGGTGAAGTTAAACTTACCAATAGCCTTTCTTTGAACTCTGTACTCCATGTTCCACAATTGCATAGAAATCTCTTATCTGTTAGTTCTCTTACAAAGTCTCCTAATTGCTCTGCAACCTTCTTTCCATCTCATTGTGTCTTTCAGGACCTGAGTGTGGGGAAGACGATTGGTAGTGGACATGAAGCCAATGGAGTTTATCTTCTTGATCAGTCTCCAATGTTAGGGTTGATGTGTCAGTCAGTGTCTTGTCATGATGAGAAACTAAGTCAATTGAAATTGTGGCATCATCGTTTTGGGCATGTGCCTTTCCTTGAAGTTTTTGTTTCCTAGTTTGTTTGAGTCCTTGTCTAGTTCTGGTCTACAATGTGAAGTCTGTAAACTATCAAAGCAATGTAGAACAACCTTTTTTGCAAGTAACAAAAGAAGTAATGTTGCTTTTCATTTAATACATACTGATGTTTGGGGACCTTATTCCATTCCATGTATGGGTGGCTACAAATATTTCATTCTCTTTGTTGATGATGACTCGCAGTATACTTGGTTGTATTTGATGAAGAGCCGAGATGAAGTTCCTTCAATTGTGAAATGCTTCTTTAGTATGGTGGAGACAGTTTGAGAAGAAGATTAAGATTATTAGATCTGACAACACCAAGGAGTACTTTGAGAAGCACTTACAAACCTTCCTTGAAGAAAAAGGAGTGATTCACTAGAGTTCTTGCCCTCATACTCCCCAACAAAATGGGGTATCAGAGAGGAAAAACAGACATGTGATTGAAGTTGCCAGAGGCTTGTTATTCCAGATGCATGTTCCAACTCGGTTTTGGGGGGATGCTGCTCAAACAGCTATATATCTTATTAATAGACTTTCCTCGCGAAGCCTACATCTCCAGTCTCCTCATCAACTTCTTTTTCCTGATGAGGATACATTCCATCTTCCTCCCAAGGTTTTTGAGTGTGTTTGCTTCGTCCATGACATGAGCCCTTTTAGGCTGAAATTTGACCCAAAGTCTATCAAGTGTGTCTTCTTAGGATATTTTTTAGTCCAAAAAGGGTATCATTGTTATGACCCTTGTTCTGGAAAAAGGAATGTGTCCAAATATGTCACATTCTTTGAGTCTACTCCCTTCTTTTCTGTCTCTCGTCCTTCTCTTCAGGGGGAGGATGTTAGTGAAGATCGGACTCCCTTTTGTATGCCAATTCCTGCAACTGGTGCTGTCAATCCTTCTTCTCCTCCTCCCTGTGGTCGTAGTAGTCCTCCTCCCGTGCCTCCTCCTTTGTCTCCTCCTATTCCTCGGTCTTGGCATCAATGGTTTGTTAGATGAAGAAAGAGGACGACTCTAGAGATTGAGTGCCAATTACAATTTGACCTCTTGGACTCAGGTCATTTGGATTTTGAACCTCTTCCTGTTTCCGATGCCTGTGTTGAATCTATTATTGAGCCTCCTCTTGTAGATTCTGATATCAACCTTCCTATTGCAATTTGTAAAGCAAGATGGACATGTGCTAAGTATTCTATCTCAAACTATGTCTCTTATGATACTTTGTCACCCTCTTATTGTGCCTATGTCTCTTCTATTGCTTCTGTTTTTATCCCTCACAATGTTACTGAGGCAGTGCAGTTCCCTCATTGAAGGATGCTATGAACCAAGAAATGGAGGCACTCAAAAAAAA